CCCCCAAAACCCCAAAACCCCAAAACCCCAATAGGCTGAAAATTAAATAGTATAGAATAGCTAATTCATTTAAACAATCAACAATAGTTAAATAATATTAGGTTAATTTCATCGTAAAATTTCTGCTTTTATTCGTTATTTTTAGACGATAAGGTGCTAGTTTAAATTAATTCTTCAGCCTTATCAAGGAACTCTTCTCTAATAGACATGTTCTAGAATTTCTTGTTTTAAACGCAATTGTTTAAAGCATCTATCATGTATTCTAAAGTTTCTTCAGTAATTTTCTGCCTAAGTTTGATTTTATATTTTTAGTCCAAGTCTCCTGAGTACTATGAATTTTTGTCATCTAGGGAACTTTAAAGTCTACCCTGAACTTAGTCGGCATTGTCACCAATATTTTCTCTGTATATTCTATACTTGATAAACTGAGAGTTCCTGTAGTTGAAAGAATTTCTAAAGGGACTGTTAATAAAAATATCACTCGTAAGTTTTGCAATCATCTTGCCTATTCCCTCATAGTCCTCAAAAACATAGTATATTAGTATCCAGTAGATCTCTTCTCCGATGTCAGCTGCATTAAAGAATAAGTTACTGGCATAAGAAACAATGGCATCTGCAACGTTATAAAAAGTTATCCATCTGTAAGAGTTTTGGAGTTCTGTCCATGACTCTTTCACTTAAAGACACTACGACCATGTATATGGAGATTTATGAACTATCACAAAAAGTTTTTCGATGCCTAAGAAAATCTAAAGATTCATGAAATACTATATGGCCTGCCTTATGTCATCTCCCATTGAGTATACATAGTACGAGCAATCATTGATGTTGTACAGAAAGATTTCATTAACTATCTAGATTGCGAAGTTACCAACGATTTAACCAAAACCGCTTTAAGTAAAATCTCTTTTTACTAGATGCTTATGAATATTTACAAGGTTATTTGGTTTCCAAAAGTTGTCCTAATTCAATGTAAAGTCAAATTAGTCCTAATTATCATTAAGTGCAAGATGAGAGGCTTAATTTGCAGCTATTTATAAGGCAAATAATGTTGATAGTAGTAAAGTCGCTGTTAATTTCATTTTATTTTAAAATTAGAATAACATTTTAATTCTTTCCCAACATCCTCCCGGGGTTTTGGGGTTTTGGGGTTTTGGGGTTTTGGGG